GACTGCTTCACGGACTCTTTGCTGTTGACGTTGATCTCCTGGTAGCATGACCTTTTGGCCTTTGTAAGACACACAGCCGATCTGTATCAAGCCCCTGTCTAACCTACGACCCCAGAGTGACTGACGGCTGTGTATTTCTGTAGAATGCTGTAGAATCTGGTTTTAGTTGAGTCTTTACATTTAGAATTTGAAAGGAAAAAAAAAAAGAACATTTCTCATGTGCTTTGTAGCTTTAAAAAAAAAATGAAGAAAAAGGAAAACTCACCATTTCATCCATATTTCTTTCTTTCTGTTTTGAAATCAAGAAACATACACACCTGCACCCACGCCCTCCCCAGCCCACCCTGCAGTGCAGCCCCAGTGCACCTGTGGACGTGCTGGGCTGTGCGCTGGTTAGCAAGAGTGTGCTCCGGCCGGGCTTTCCAGGAGGCCATGGGCCGCTGCAAACCCACTGCCTGTCAGCCACACAGGCGCCGCGGACACCACCGAGCAACAGCAGCTCTGGTCTCCCTAGTCCTAAGCCACCCCGGCCACTCACTCACTCCAGGTTTGTATAGAAAAAGCACAGCTCTCACTGGCCAGTAGCTGCCAAAAAGATCCCTGCCATATCTAGAAATAGTGCCCTCTAGAAAACAACCCCCCAGCCCCCTTTCTACAAATCTCCTTTGTTCGTTTTTTTTTTTATTATTTTATTTTATTTTACTTTAGCTTTGTTTTTTCTTTCTGTCCCGACAAGTCCTACGTCTTACATACCAGATCAGCTCTCATAGTCTTTGGGAAATGGGGTTGTGGTTTTTTTCCTTTGACATTTTAGACTCTCGGTCTTTCCGGTGGATGCTCCTCTCGTGTGTATGCTCCCTCTTTGTTTCAGTGACCTGTGTTCGCTCTTTCTCATGTGGGGATGTTTGTGCTGCAGATAAAAAGAACAAAAAAAAAAAAATTTTTAAATACCACAGATGGAAAAAAAAACACAAAAAAAATTTAAAAAAGATGGAATGTAGTGTTTACATTAAAGCCACAGTTTTCATGATCAGTCCTGTCATTTCTATTTTGACTAGTATCCAAACCCCGAACCTCTTCACGGTTTCACTTTTAAGACTTAATATTTGCTGAAGAAGACCAGTTCACAGCCATTTCAAATAAAGAGGAGGCAAAAAGACAAAACACATAAAAAAATTTAAAATACAGAAAAAAAAAACTTGAAAAAAAAAGTAAAAAAGAAAAAAAAAAAAAGCCCACGGGTCTTTCTAAGCCTTTCTATTCCCAATCGGTGAGGTTTCTGTGATATCTTACACACTGCCAGTCTACTTCTCTGACTAATGGAAAAATTCATGTGTAGCTCAATAAAGAGAATGTTTGTCTGTATTCCTGAGTCTCTCACCCTCTGCCTTCCAGACTTCGGTTCTTTGGGGTGGGCTTCATCCTGACAGGAAAGGGAAGGAGGGACTTGACTCGGTCACACACCCTCGGAGGCTGGTGTGCGAGGAATCCCCTGCAGGGCCATCTCCACGTCCCCCTTGGTGCTGTCCTTGGGATCCAGCTCAGCGTGCAGTTGGCAGAACAGGTGCCCAGTCTCTGGGGAAGGAGGACAGGAAAGCGCCTTCTGCTGGCTCCTAGCTCCTCCTCCCTCTGGGCTGGTTTGGCTGCTTTCTGAGGGTGGAGTGGAACTGAGGATTAGAAAGAGGAGCAATGGAGGGCAGGTACTCCCAAATTTGCTAACACCAGATCCCATTTATTCTGTGACCAATGGTCCCAACAGAGAACGGTGGTCTTAAGAGTGAGGCTAAATTGCTTTGGCCCTCTGCACCCGTGTCTACACTGTGCCAAGGACAAACGCAGACTGGCCAGGACATTTCCCTCAGTCACCCTCACCTCTCCCACTGCACCTGGATGCCAGGAAGCCCCTGGCAGGCTACACACCCAGAGGAACAGGGCAGCACAGCCTGGCATAGTCTGACTCCTGTCTCCTTCAGGCTGTAGGCCCCGCTGCCTCTCCCCAGACTGCCACATTTTTACTCTACGAACTGGCTGAGACTGAGCCCCAGGGGGAACAGCAGCCCACTGAAATTCCCGCATCAGGACCACATGCTGCTTCTCAGCCAAGTGCAGTTGAGGGCAGCCTCATGCCGTCCTGGGGGAGGCAGGAGCAGCTTGAGATATCACTGCACTGGAATCCTCTCCGCGCCCTAACAAATGGGGACTCGCTGCCCAGGAAAGCTCCTCCCTGGCAAGTTCCAGTGGTCTTCTGAATCTAGTGGAGGTAGAGGTATTGACAGTTTCACAGACTGTGGAACACCAACAGGCATGCTGTCATAAATACCCAGTCAATCTGGACACCTCTTAATCCTCTCCTAGGCCAGGCCTCTCATTCAGTGCTTTCCCCACCAGCTCCCCTCACCCTGACTAGTTATCTGTAGAGGGGGACATACAACCTCTTGAAGGAAAGGCTTGCAACTTGACTTCGTAACACTAGGCTCAGGGAACAAACCAAGATTCAGATGGGAGGCTGAAAGAAACCATGACATTTTCTACACATGGTTGTATCTGAATTTCTCCAAAAATGTGCCATATTCTAATAAGAGTTATTTCCCAACTTCCCCATGAGTCTTATAGACAAAACTAACCAGCGGGAGACCAGCAGTTAGTGTAATGGCTATGTCGCTGGACTCCCATGTAGTCGAACGCTGTTCAAGTCCCAGACCTGGTGGCTGGCGCATGTGC